ATACGTGTTGAAACTAGGTTTAACACAGTTTGTTAAAGCTGCAGATCTTACTCTCTTTTTTGTCGAGTTACCCCCCACTAACTCAAACTAATGTATTTGATAAATATATAAATTAATTAATTATTTTTAAACATTTCAAGGTTTAGTTTTGTTTTTGCCCCAAGCGCTGTTAGAACCAAGAGTCTTTGATTCGAGATATAGTGCTATCTACTTAAGATGTTGTGTACTTCCAGTTGTGGGCGCATTATAAGAGTGACAGTCTTAAAGATAAGAGTAGCCGCTTCAGGCGGTCGGTACTAATGAGTGGTTGTCTTTTCTTTGGATTAAGTTCAAAAGTACGGATAACTATGTCTGACCCACAGGGACCTTTGACCTTGCCGCTAAGTCCATTGTGTGCATAAAGCGTCTTGTTTGTTTGTCTGTTTGTTATGAATTTCGCACAACTACACGAGGGCTATCTGCGCTAGCCGTTCCCAATTTTGCAGTGAAAGACTAGAGGAAAGGCAACTAGTCATCACCACCCACCGCCAACTATAGGACTACTCTTTTGCTAACGAATAGTGGGATTGACCGTAAAATTATAACGCCCCCACGGCTTCAAGGGCAAACATGTTCGGTGTGACGGGGAATCGGATTCGCGACACGCAGATTGCGAGTCGAGTGCCCTAACCACCTGGCCATGCAAGGCCGTCTTTCAGATGAACAAACAAACGATTTTTTTTCTCTCTGATGGAGACATGATCAAGTGACCAGTGTCTCGTGCAAACACTGATAAACTCAACTCCCTGTTATGTTGTCGAAACGAATTTCTGACGTGTTTTGATTAAAACATCTTAACACAGTTAAACTTTTAGATAAGTGTTATTCCCCGTTTAGCCATAGAATTCCAACTGTTTAAACATCATTTTCTCAGTTGAATCCGAGGGTCCATGGTTCGCGTTCCGCTGTCGAAAAAAAATCGCGATCATAACTTTGAGTAACCCAAGAGGTGGCGGCGGATGCTTTCCTCTAGTCTATCAGTTCAAAATTAGGACATACACCTAGTTCTTGTACAGCTTTGGGCAAATATCCGAGACAAACAAAGTTGCTGATCACAGGGTCCCTAATAACATATGATGCTCAAACAATAAAAATACCATTACTATTGTACTGCTGAAGTTGCCTATGTACTTACCGAATAATAAAATGATTTCACATTTTTTTAATCAGTTCTTTAGTCATTGACGCTGGAAAAATTTCTTTAGTGTGGATTTTGAAAACCACCGAAACCTCTGTAAATGATAAGAACCATGTCATACCAGGGGAGGGGGGGGTGATAATAATGCACCCTCAGCAACGCTAGTTCCCGCGTCCTTGCCGAGTGTTGTAACAGGCAAAAACGTAAAGCTACTGGATGTAATATTATATGTGGACCCCACCGGTAGTGAACGGTATGTAAACAAGTCGGTAATTTATGGGTTAAAAAACAACATGTGGTGAGAAACGTAGCGTTAACTGACATTCAATTTCGACAGATTTTATTATCGTCTTTTTGTTTACAATATTTCATCCTATAACTCATCAAGTACACAGAATTACGAAAGGGGGAACAGTTGGATATACATACACACACATATATATACAGTATACATATGACATTCAAAACAATTAAGTCAGACTTGTGGTCCCAAATCCCGCCCATGGCATCAGATGTAATTTCCATATGAACAGTATTATGGCCCATGACACGAGCAAAGAAACTTTAATGGGCAGCATATTTAACTAACACGACTAACATTTCAAGACAGTATTTTGAATCACCCTTAAGACAAAAAAGTATCCACTGTAGTTACACGACTTGAGCTAATGGCGGGGAAAAAAGGACCACGTTTTTTTGAAGAATTTGACACATATAACCGCCTAACGGGAATGAGAGATGTATCACACATGCCATTCAGAGTTATATACACAAGAGAAACAGCCCCCCCAAAAGCTCAATAGGTCACGTGTACAAGCGAAAGCAGTTGGATCACACCAACATCAATTTAGTGTTACAAAATGACATCGAGTGTAAGTGCCGTCGCTTTAAATTACACCATAACATGGGTGATTAAATCTTTTGCCACCAGGGGATAATTACCTCCATGAACTTTACACCCACCTACCTGCATATAATGATAGGTAAGGTTAGGGCTAGTCCATAAACTCATCGTACAATCAAATTAAAAAAAATATCTATATGTGTATCTATCTAACAACACAGAATTAAAAATACAAAAAAAAACTATTCGCTGTCATGGTTACCGTACTTACTATGAAATATTAAATCTTAGAGGCTAATAACCATGACACCGATTGATATTTGATCACCACAACCTTACTGTAAGTACTTAAAATTACTATTAGCCAACAGCATGTAATTACAACTGGGGAGAAATGTTTTACTTTAGCCCAGTAGCTAATAAGTACGTTACTTGATATTCTAAATTGTTAGTGCATTAATGAGTACTCGAAGGTGTCTAATGTTTAGAAAGGTTGAAATTAAGTGAACATTTTGATATCATTAAAACTTTGTTCTCTCGCAAGAACGTTTACTAATTTATTTTCCCACGTATCTCATGCCAATGAATATATGAAGAAACACACACACAGAATCCTTCACAAATCAGTTTTATATCTACCAAACTCACTCAGTTATAAGAGCGTAATGGATCGCTATTCAAGACGATGAAGTTACTGTTGCGTAAAATACAACGATTACAACCTAAACTACTGTTACGTCATGCTTATGGATACGAAGTACCCAATTAACGTTAACATCAGAAGTTACGTCATTTTGCACTTACCGTTTCAGTTTGATTAGCTCCAAAGTTACACATATTGGAAAAATATATATATATAATTATTCATTATAATGATAGTTTTTGATTAATTAATTTTCTATAATAAAAAACATGCACAATTTATCGGCAAATAAAAAAATACACATCGAGCAGGCGACTCATCTCACACTGAGATGGAAATTAGCTTACAAAAACAAACAAATAAAAACTACAGTACGAGCAAAATTTACACTTTTGAAAAAACGTCATGTATCTAACAGGAAACTCGGTTTAAAAAAGATATTACATATTAAAAACAAATTACATATAAAACAAGAAACAAACAAGTTTGAAAAAACATTACAAATCAGGGAGAAAAAAATACATATCGATCAGCAAACTCAGTTTTGGATAAATAAACGTAAAATACATCTTATGAAAGATTACTATTACTATATACACATACGTAATTAAAAAATTTGAAACTGAACTTAAGTGAACAGAGTTGGGTGGTGGGCACAACACAGATAGCCCATTACGTAGTTTTACGCTTAACAATAAACAGAGTCTAACAATTGAAGCTTGGAAATTAACGACTTTTTCTTGATTTACTGACCATAATATAATTGTTTTGGTTTTATGAAATCGAATGAGGTCAAATATTATTTTCGAAGCTCCTAATTTATAGAGTATTTACTTCACAAAAGTATTTATTTCACCCTCAAATAACCCAGTTCTAGAATGATTAAAGACAATAATTCCAAGTTTGATGCTTCAGTCAGCTCCTTATGTTGCTGTAACAAGCATACAAACAGACAGCACTGAACAAAACATTTTTTGTTTTTCGTTTCGATAGTCATTCCAAGGGACTTTTAGCATGTTTTCTGTATAGAAGATTACCTCCTGAAAACGTAATTACAATTCATGACCTATGTGCTTGCTGTTGTAAACCACGACGACTCAAATGGAGAACGCTTCAGCACAGGTTGACATACTAATAATAATATTAATATTTGTGATCCCTGTGTACAGTATCCACATTTAAAACATACAACGTAATCCAGTTTACTTACTTTGTATGCATTTCTGTGCGAGGAATTAAATTCGGTCTCTTTCGTTACAAACATTTCTTAAACCAAACAAATACATTAAAAAAAAAGCAACAACAAACAAACATGAAACAGTTTTACGTGTGTAGAAACTACGAGGCAAGACCGTAACATCAACACTGAATTACTAAAATGAGAGAGAGAAAAAGGATAGACAAATAGACAGGTGTGTAATTTATAAGTTGTGCGTTATCCTGAGAACTAAAGTTACCTGTATAAAATTATCTGATGTCAAAGTTGGTGAATACGTTTATTTACGATAATTAAACAATACATCACCACCAAACTATAAACGTTAGTATGATCTAAACGAGTTTGGAGACTTATGGCGTTAAGTATTAGTTTATTATGTAATAAATTACAATAAATAATACAAAAACTGCCATAAAGTTGATTATAATTATTTTTTATTAAGACAACATATATTATAAACTTGTCATTATCGCGACGCTTGTATAATTCCAAGTAGGTGTTTGGAAAAAAAAAAGATGTTATAAGTTCTGTTGTTGATAGAAAATCTAGGTTGAATACAATAGGCAAAAAAAAAATTAAAAAATACACACATATTACCATGCAACTAAGCGGAGTTTACCGGAAGCTTTGACAATCTCGCCGAGTCTTGATCTTTCGACGATATATACAGGTATACGTTTTGTTTGTTTTCATTTCTAAGAGCGCGTGCTGGACGTAAATAATTCACATAACGTACAGAATTCTCTCGAGAGTATATATTTCTGTACAGGGGCAGATTAGGATAGCTGCAGGAAAATGGTAAGAAATAAAATATCGTTCACTTTGTCAGGGCTAGAAAACAAGGTCTTGTTTCCCCAATATAAAGCTGGTGAATATGTAATTAACTCTAGGTAGAGTTGAAAAATTCTGTCGAGGATACTTTTCGTGTTTGTGTGCCAGAGAGAGGGAGATATTCACGACGTCCTGTGAAGCCTGATTTGTCAATTGTAATAAATCATGCATTTATTGGTTTAAACAAATATAAAATAAAATATGAAAATTGACTAGAGACTAATGTTGTCAAGGTAACTCGGGGTTGTTTTTCTGTAGTTGTCAAGGTAAGAAGAAACAACCTTACCTGTCACTAATCTCTTCCTGGGCTGCGGATTTTCTTGCTTCCTTCGCGACATCTCATCGGATTTTCGATGTCAACGAAGACGTGACAAATGTACACGGACACCAGGAACAACAAATATGGCGGACGCTACTGCATGCTGGGTAATTTATCCCAGCACCTGCGTTGTTTCTGTCACTTGAATCACTGATAAGCTGACCTTATTTGCATATTAAAAACTAACCGTCAGAATGTAGAGGGGTTGATGGCGGATAAAGTCTATGGCGTTTCAGTCCAAGTTCCAGCGAGCGATTTCCTCGGCGTGTTCACGAGGCCGGAGGTACGCGGCAACTGAGCACGCGAGGGCAGGGGTACGAGGTACATGTACTGGTCAATGTGGGGATTCCTTCTGTCGTTTGAGCGCCCGCCTTTTGCTAATAACACCACCTTCTTGTGGCCTTCGGGCCAAGATTGCAACGACGTCGTGTTGGATCAAAAAAGTTTTTTTTAAACCTGTAATTAACCCTAACTTCTAATATCGACTTTAAAGGCCCACTTCGCGTTGTTTTTTTTCCTTTATTTGAAACTCCACAAGTTTCCTTGATCATCCACACTTCCGTAATAAGATCAGAAATATTTAAATCCAAAATGAACACTCATAATTTAATATGAGCATAAACTTTACTAACTTTCTCATGCGATTCAGGCATGCTCGTTCCAGACTCTGATGTACAAATTCTTAGGGACGAAACAAAGTGGTTTGAATATTGTATTGTCAGCCTAATTGACACTGAAACAACAACAACAATATATATATATATACTGCCTGCAGCAAACGAGGCTTTAGATTAAGGGCTCACCACTCTGAGGCCTAATTTTAGCCCTCCTAGTCCCAGCTAACAAAGCTGACAACGCAAGTATTGACCAAGAGGCAAGCTAACAAACGCCAGATCTCGTGACGACAGAAATGATGTAAAAACCGTGTGTTCGGTTCTGCAACAGGAGTAGGTTGCTGCTAGCTAGATCCTTACACTACTCTGCTTTGGTGTGGTAGACAACACCTTCACCTCGTGGCACAGCGGTCGTCGAGTCACTGTTGCGTCGCTGAGAGAGCAGCTTCTTGAGCTGTGGCAGCTCGTGATGCGTGGGCTCGTGACAGAGTCATATGGTGCGACAATCGTCCAAACACAGCGTTTTGCAAGACGGACTTTTGCCGCGCCTGCCCGCAGAGGAGTGGTCATGATGCAACGTCGACCAGAGGTCAGCCCACTGTAACTTGATTGGCAGGCCAGCAGGACGTTAGGCGTGCTGCTTAGCTTTAGGTGATGTCCCGTTCCCTTGGCGCATAACATGATATTCGCAAAAAAAATCAGTAGCGCCTCACGCACTGCTCAGATGTTATTAATAGCCCGATGGCACCAAGCGGTCTACAACGATCATCTATTGGTCCTTTTGTTTAAATGCTGTAAATAATAATAATTAGGGTTAGAGAGTACGCTAAATCTCTATCGTTCATTCTGATATCTTTTATTCTGTTTTGGTGTTGGAGATTATTTTTGTATATTAAAACTATAAAGGTTAGGGTTAGCTAGTGTGATCGTGTTTTACAAAAGAGGTTAGGTCTAAATATTTTTGTAGTTAGCTTACACTGGACAGTCTTGAAAATCCAATCTATCATTAAGTAAACCAGGAAAAGAGTTAAATGTTTGATTAGAAATGAATCAGCTTTGAGTTTTCTCTGACAAGTAATGAATTTGTTGTGAACAAATTATCAAGATATGCGCGTATATATTTGTGGTAGAAGTTAATATTTTAGAATACGTGTCCATATTTCTTATCACGTTCACACATAAATATATAAATATATATATATATTTGGGTGAGGGTATGTCTAAGTATTTATAAATACTGGTTTATATTTGTATACTCCTATATAGTGCTTAGGTACCTCAATAAAAACTAGTCGTCTGCACGAATATGAGTTAACTAGATGCTCATTGGTTAAGAGACTTATGACGACAGAGAATCTATACCAATTTACTTCCAATAGGGTTTCGACTGTAGAGTCTGTGTATTCTTCGGCAACTTAATGAATGGAATAGTAAGACATCGAAAGTTTCTAGCATTGCCCCCTATTGACGAGTGGAGTACTAATTATTGGGAGATATAAAAATAAAATTCCTGCTAAAATTATATTATTTCATGCATTCAACCAACTCCCAATTTAAAAAAAAAGTATTTATTTTGTGTTCAATATTTATTTTTATAATATTTATTTATCATACACTGGATCTGTGCTTAAAAAAGATATACAAAACAGAAGTAGAAACACTCTACTCATGGATATACGAATTGATAAGGATTTCTAATCTCTCATTCAATTTATTGTTTCAGTTAAAACCACTAGGTAAGATAATATGGTGAGATTAAGACTTGTATAGAAGACAGAACAGCACGAAATCCCATCACTCAGCTATTTCTACATTCACTAATAAACACCCATATTGTCCCATTCTGTACTCAATTAAAGGTTGGAAAAATGTAGTTGTTCTGAGCTCATTGGAATATAGGAATAATA